AAATTGCATGCTACTTGGTACAAGGTTTACAAGTTGAAATGTATGACGTGCAATGTTTTTATACACGAAAACCATGAACTCACTGAGCTTTATAAGCTGACTATAGTATGCATCTCAGGCCCAGGTAGTTCGAGGACGGATAAAGGCAAGGGACATGCTTAGAGTGTTGCTTATTATTATCTCATTTTAGTCTTTCGTCTAAGATACGCTGTAATGATCTTTTGTAACATAACCCCAAGAGAAGGTGGGTTTGAACTTAAGTTAAATTTTGATGATTCAAAGACTTCCGCTGTAATAGTTTAAATGACTTTAATTTAGCCATTACTTTGGTGTATCTATTAAGGTAAAATGTTTCAGATCACGTAACATCTCTCTTGAATGAAAATGAAGGTGTTACAAGTTGGTATCAGAGCCTTAGTTTAAGGTAATTAGGCTAAAACTTACCTAGCTTAAGCTTAAACTGAGAAGATTGTTAAAGCTTTAGTTTAAGGTAAATAGGTTGAGATTTGCTTAGCCTAAGCTTAAACTGAAAGGATTATTAGAAGCACATGTTTATTGTGTATTGGTGCGCTTAGCATGCGATTAAGTTTGATCCTACGTCACTACTCGACTTAGTGTTCCTTTTTATTTGTAGGAGACATGGTTCGCACTATTCACACCAGGGCTATCAGACACGGACGCGGACGCGGATACGGAACCCGTAGGATGCCTTACGGGCTAGGACCGAATAGAGGGTCGATTGGCAGTCACCGCCCCAGCACCGGACAGGTTCCCGGTACCCGGTCCGGAAGCGATAGTCCGGCCCACACTGGTGAAGTGTCACCACGCGAGCCCATCAGGCAAGGGACCACGCCCGAACCTTCGGTGGACTACACGCCCCGCACCCCGACACGTGAGGACATGATGGAGACTATAGAGACCCTGGAAGGCGAGAACACAAGGCTAAAGGAGAGGTTGACCCGAGCTTTAGGTGACAATACTAGACTAAATGAATGGCTGGGAAATCTTCAGCGGGCACATGTCGAACAAGGAGGAGCCCTAATCRAGCTGATTGAAGAGAATGCAGATTTGTCGGACCAGTGTCATGCCCTRATTTGGGACAAAGTTGTGCTTGAACAGGAGCGGAGAATTGCTGCTTGCCCAGTAGGCACTAGAATCAGAGACAGGGTTTGCTTCTATAAGAGAGTAACCATAGACTATGCTGGCGTAGTAAAGGGCTATCTCTCCAACTGGGTTCGATGCATCAGAAATGGCCCAAGGGCTAGTGTATTGTGGCATTTCATACCATCTACATCCTATGAGCAGTGGTTGAGGGACCCTTATCTCCCTTACTATCTCACAGATCAGTTTTAGACATGGGATTAGAGATGAGAGAAGGATCTTTTGAGTAGGAGAACTAACTGTACGTGTTTAGGTAGTTTTCTTCTAGCCAGTGCTACGATAGATTTTTGGAACATTTACCTGTATTTACACTGCCATCAATTCTGCATACTTCCATACCCTTCTTACTAAAATAGAAGTGCATTATATCCAAGATCTTAGTCTACTAGGAAAAAATAAGAACCTATTTGCCAAAATATAAGTGCAATGAGCAAGAAAGCACACATAGGTTTTTCGAATGAGCCATTCTCAAACTCGAACAGGTTTTTCGAGCCGAGCCGAGCCATTCAAGCATGCACTTTATCGAGCTAAAAATATCATATGTTCAGAAACCATATGATAAAAGTAAAAATCATTTATGTCAAGTCAATAAGCGAGCTAATCGATCTCGAGTTCGAGCCCATATACGAGTATCGAACTCGAACATTGAAGAAATATCTATATCTAGCTAGAGCCCTATTGTGAAAAGTTAATCAAACACGAGCATGGTAATATTTTTTGAGTCGAATAACATGCAACTAACTAAACTCAACTCAACTTGTTAACACCCTAAACTCCACTTCCAACTACGTTACCAACACAAATGTCATATTATGAATAGCATACACTTTGGGATACTCATTTGGATCCCTCGAGAAATCTCATCCAAAATTACAACAAATAGGAATGGGCTTAATGTCGATCCTTGGTGCAACCCTATCTCCACCGCAAAATACTCTATGTTGCATAGTGAAGTCCAAACACAATCATCAATCTTCCGTACATATCCTACATCACCTTGACATACCTTCAACATACTCCCCGGGCAAATCCCGTCTTTTCTAGACTCGTCCAAGTAACTTCCCTTGGTACACTATCATATGCCTTATCCAATTCTATGAACACCGTGAGTATTTAAGTCCCTGCTATGCTACCTATAATTCTCCATGAGGCATCTTAGGAGGTGTATTGCCTTAATTGTGGATTATAAATTGGTTCTCTGGACTTATTTCTTTCACCAACATCCATCTACCTATCTTCATCTTTTCTAAAGAGTTAAAACTTTATAGTAATAGGTTTTATTTATGCTAAACAAAGGTTCTTTAAAATGACATTAATGGTTGAGCTTATAGAATTGCTACGAAAAGCGATAAATTAAAATTCCGAACGATCATACAAACAAGATCAAAATTATGTGTGAATAGGATTATCCCTTGCTCTACCATTACCTTGCTGACTATCATGGAACATGCACAACAATGGGGCTCCTAACTTGATGCACTCCATCATCCCATGTCAAACCGCCAGAAACAATTGAATTTTCTTGCCCTTGTATGGTTGCCTGAACAGACACCTTAAAAGACAGCTTCTGCCCATATTCTTCAAAATGTAGGACATTCGGCTGAACTTGTATTCGCAAACCGCTAACACGTGGTTGAGTTATCAAAGCTCTATAAGTCGATGTGGCTGACCCAACATTGGTGACAGTTCTGCTGAAGTTAAAATCAACGGCTTCATTATACAGTGTTGGGATTACAATTGTAGGGTAGTTGAGATCCTTGGTTTGCTCCATGAGCTGAGAGCAGCTACTACTATTAACCCCAGTAATGATTCTTATATCTTTGGAGCTATAGTCTTGCTGGCACAAAAATGTTACATAATCAACCTCATCAACATCATATACCAATCCAGGTCTCAAAGCTTTCATTGGGTTAAGATAGCCAACTCCATATGCAAATTCAGCATCTGTGTTGATATGAGCACTCATCGGAGATGCTGCAATCAATTTTATAATAACAAGAAATAACATAACTAACACCGGATGCATAAATAATTTTCACTATATATGATTGTCTTTAGAAATGTGATGTGTTACCGGTGGTCATGAGAGCAGACTTGATTGCTGAAGGAGACCATGTTGGGTTAAATGTTTTGATATAAGCAGCTATACCGCTTACATGTGGGCAGGCCATTGATGTGCCTGATATCATATTGAAAGGCACTGCTCTTCGGTCTCTATCTATTTGGGTAATTGGAGCCACAGGTGGCCATGCTGCTAGAATTCTTACACCAGGAGCTGTCAGGTCAGGCTGCATCAAACGAAAAATAGTTACGAGTGTTGCTCTGTAAAACAGGTTTCTAACAGAAGTCACACATTGGTCACCCTCTAGATCTGTTGTATTACATCCTTATTAATAGAAAAAGTTTACAAGAGTGTGATTTGGGTTTCCCTACTCCAATGGATAATTGTTGAGAATTATCCATACAAACCAAATCAAACTCTTGTAAACTCTTATAGTATGTATGTCTTCAAGCTACTACACGATTACCTTGAGGATGTTTCTGATTATAGGATTTGGACCTCTTGATGAGAAAGAGGCAACATATGGGGATGATGAGTTCATGACATCTTCGCTCTTCATTATAACTGCTGTTGCATTTCTGAAACGAATTTTCATGTTGGATAATATGTGAATATGTAAATACTTTGATCAGATGACAAGTAAAGAAGTGGTGTTATTTTGATTAGAATGGAAACTTATGTTTGTTTACCTTGTTGATCTTATGTAGCGAATGATGTTGGTTGCTTGATCAGGATTCACAACACTAACAGGCAAAGGATATGAACGAATGAATTCAAAATACGGCCCATCATATCTCATGATAGACCCAACAGCACCAGCCAACATTTCAACTTCTCCAGTCGAAATTTGATCACATAATATTATTTTACCTTCCACTAAATTCTTGTCCAATGAGTTTCTGATGCATGTCCTGATGTATATTCCATGATATACCCATCAAAGAAACATGACAATTCAGGAACCAACAAAATTGACATGATGATATGGAATCTATATAACTTTCATATTGCATCACAAATCTTAACACCAAATTTATTCAAGCAAAGTCTTTCTTCACCTTGATACTGAGCCATTGAAACCAGCCATGATATTCGGTACATCTCCGGCATAAACTAAAGGATACATTCTGTCAAGTGTAAATGGATTTATTGAAACACCCTGAGATGAAAATGAACAAGTTAAAGTTGTTGATTTTTATTTTCAAACAAGAAATCAACATCGCTGTAATAAAATTGGGTTTGTATAGTAGGACGTCTAAAATAGCCAAGTATCCTGATAAAGTGTTTTATAAGAGTTCAGTTTATAGGACCAATCAAAAAATGTCATATTTAAAAATGTTACAATAAGTTTATAGAACCTTTTTTTGGATGTCGTAACAAGTTTTTTTGGACATTTTTCAAATAAAGTGTCGAATTAACTATTTTATTGGACATTATATGAAAAAGTGTCATATAAACACAAATGTGCTAAAAAAAGATAAGTTTATATGACACTTTTTCAAAAGCGTCCTATAAAATAACCAATACGAAAGTTTATTTTGAAAATGTCCTAGAAAAACTTGTTATGACACCCAAAATCGTTTTATAAACCTATTGTTTGCCTTATAAACTTAAATCAATAAGACACTCTATTAAGACATCTAGACGTTCCGTAAACTCAATTTTGTTGTAGTGGCTTTTTTCTACTCAAATGAAATATAAACCAACAGGTTTAAAAATATTACTCACTTCTAGAACCATATTGTTGCCTAGTCTTATTGGGGTGATTAAATCTGGATTTTTAGTGCCAGCAGCCACGGTAAGAATCCATGGAGCAATACTACCAAGGGTCTGGGGATTTGGGCCTTCGTTCATAGCAGATTGTACGGTTAATATTCCTTTCCTCATGGCATGAAATGATCCAATAGCAAGACCGTCTTCAAAAAGTTCTTGGGCACTTGAGAAGCCAACCGAAGCGCTGATTATGTCAACTCCATCAGCAATGGCATCTTCAAAACCAGAAAGAAAGTCGACATCTGAACACCCGTCTGTCCAACACACTTTATACACTGCAATCCTGGCTCTAGGAACACCCCCTCGAGATGTTCCCGAGTGAAGGCCTAGCAGGTTCGCATTACTCACTATGTTTCCGGCAGCCGTGGATGCGGTGTGGGTTCCATGACCATCAGAGTCTCTTGGTGATTGGAGATCTTTAGGGTCATAGATACCATCGGCCTTGAAGTGTCGAGCTCCGATTATTTTGCTGTTTAATTATGAGATCATTAATGTAGACAAAACAAAGATCTATTGGTCATATTATTTTATTTCCACAACCATACAATCATGTTCTTTAATTTGTTCAAATCTAATTACTTGGTATAAATCATCAACAACAGAAATTGAGACAAATAACCAGAAAATAAGTCACAGGTTTGAAACCCTAATTTCTTGAAGAAAATGTTTTCGAATTTTGTAGAAGATTGCAATAAATATTGGGAAGGGATTTATTACTTGTTGCAAGAGAAATTGGCTTGGCAAATGCCCTTCCATTTAGCAGGAGGAGGACCATAACCTTGGTCAGAGAAACTGGCTGATTCCGGCCAAATTCCGGTGTCAAAAACACCTACGATGATGTCACTTTCAGTTGTTGATCTGTTGACTTTAAGTGGGAACCCTATGAAGTCCCATGAGCTTGTTGTTGCCACTTTGTTCTTTCTGCTAGGGAACACAGAAACAACCCCTTCCATCCCTACATATTAAATTAATTTCAATGCTTTGATATATATTGAATTCATATCATCTTGTTTATGATCATAATTGAAGATTAACAGTTGCTTGCAAGTTATGGACAGACAACATAAAATTCAACGCTCTCTCTCTCTCTCTATATCTATATATATATATATATATATATATGTGCATACCTGAGAGTTTTTGAGCTTCCTCTTGGGTAAGTCTTGCCGAAAATCCATGGAAGCTTTTAGTGTATCTTTTAAGCATATGTCTCTCTCCATCCCTGCTATAAGCATGAAAGAAAGAGTGTCTTTATAACAGTACTTGAGGCTCAGGAAAACCCATATATAACAGACGAAACATTTTGACCGATACTGTTTTTACTTTATATTTTGTCATAGTTTCTTCTCTGTATTTGTTATGTTCACTACAAAAAAAGAGGTTTTACAGCCGAAAATATCCGTCAGCAATCCGACGGTAAAAGCCATCACCGTCCAATCTTATTCTCGGAAAAAATGTGGTGCGTATCGTGATTGGATTTTTTATTACTAAGGAAAAATCCGTGAGTGATCCGCAACAAATCCGACGAAAATCAACAGTGGGTGAATCCCTAGGGGTTTTGAACCTTCAGAAACGGTCGCTAGAAATGGACGAACGTTGGTGCCATCACTATATTTACATACATATTATTCTATATATATATATATATATATATATATATATATAGGGTTGGGTTCACGTGAGACCAGCCTGTTTTCGTGAGACCCGTGAGACCACATTTTTACACGTAACCTTCACAGCAAAAACACTGTGAAGGTTTTAAAAAAGTCGAACCTTCACAGCAAAAACACTGTGAAGGTTTTAAAAANACACGTAACCTTCACAGCAAAAACACTGTGAAGGTTTTAAAAAAGTCGAACCTTCACAGCAAAAACACTGTGAAGGTTTTAAAAAGTCACCTTCACAGCATTTTTGCTGTGAAGTTTCAAGTGTAAAATGTTGGTCTCACGGGTCTCACGAAAACAGGCTGGTCTCACATGATCCCAAGTCTCTCTCTCTCTCTCTCTCTCTCTATATATATATATATATATATATATATATAGGCGCGATCAAATGAAAACCACCATCATTTGTAAATAACCATACAAACCACCCTCATACGTCGATTTGATTGTTTAATCTTATGACATTTTTTCATGAAATTGTTTAATCTTATGAAATTGTTTCATGTAATACTTTTTTTGATGAATTTGTTTCAATATATGGTTATGAAATTGTTTCATATAATATTTAATAAAAATTTTAATGAAACTGTTTAATGTATTTCTCTAAAATTAAAATAATAAAGATGATAAATATATATATATATATATATATATATATATATTCTCAAATGGTGCAACCTTGATCTCCCTTACAAGTGATTGTACCTCAGGTTAATTTAATTGAATTTCCGGAAATTTCCTTAAAAAACCTCTGTCTTTTTAAAGTATCTTCAACAGTTCATGTAGATTGAGTGCTTTTTCAAGGAAATAGAGAATAACGAGAACGTTTAAATAAGTTTGATTCGTGATCGGATCATAAAAACCCACTATTTATATATATGTAGAGAGAGAAAGAAACATTTGAAATCTCGTGATACCAGCTTGTTTTCGTGAGGCCTGTGAGACCACTTTTTTACACTTGAAACTTCACATCAAGACGCTGTGAAGGTAAAAAAGAAGCCGAATGTTCACAACAAAGATACTGTGAAGGTTACTTTCATAGTGTTTTCCTGTGAAATTTGAAGTGTAAAAAATTGGTCTCACGAGTCTCACGAAAACAAGTTTGTCTCACGTGATCCCAAATCTCTCTCTCTATATATATGTATGTATATATATATATATATATATATAGAGAGAGAGAGAGAGAGAGAGAGAGAGAGAGACACTACACCAAATGTTGTCTTAGACAACAAATGTTTGTTGCCTAAGCCTTAAGCAACATATTTCATTTGTTGCCTAAGTGGCATTTTGAGGTAGTGAGAGTAACATAATCACTTGTTAACTAATTAAGTAGTATTAACTTTGTTAACTGGTCTAAGCCTTTTATTTTTTTAATCAACGATTGTGATTAATGAGAGGTTATAATCTGATTAAAAAAGACAAATTAAATTGTATTAAATGAGGGCATTTTTGAAAGAAATTGTTTTTATTTTTAGAAAATAATCATATATAATTTTTGAAAGATAATCAATAATGTTATTTAATGATTCTTAATTTTTGGAAGAAAATAAAATCAAAAAGTTCATAGGTGAAATTCGAAAGTGAAACAATCATTTTTGTATAAAGTTCATAGGTAAATCTAGATAATTAAAGTTTACAGATGAACCAAAAAGTGAAACAATGATTTTTATCTTAAGTTTATATGTGAAACCAGATAATCAAAGTTTATAGGTGAATGAAACAGTGAAACAATTATTTTTATCTAAAATTCATAAGTGGAACTAGATAATCAAAATTCATAGGTGAAACAATTAAGTGAATGAGATAATTATATGAATGTAATAATTATATGAATGAAATATTTAAAGAATGTGGTATCAATATATAAAAAAAGATAAAAAACACCTCGGTTAACAAAATTAATATTAATTGTTTGGTTAATAAAAGAAGGGGACTCTATATATATGACAACATTCTCTTAAATATAAATTTTATTGGAGAAAATATTAAAAGGGAATCTTGAAAAAAAGCCACATAATCATAAAAAATGGAACAGAAAAATATATCAAAATGGAAGTCAAATTAAAGAAAAAAATGATTGTTTTTTGGTGTAACATGTTTTACTCAAATTTTCTTTTTATTTAGTTGATTTTAGATTTAGAGGAAATATTTGTATTTTTAAAAAAGGCGATACAACAATATTTTTAATCATATTCAATGGATCATCTCAAACGGTTGAGATGGGTTATTCGGTTTTTCTTTCCAGGGCTCTTTCCAATCTCATCGCTATATTATTGCAAAGAGTCGTGTGGCTCTAACACACCCCATCCAATAAGGGTAGATGGGCAAATTGAGATGTTCCTAATGGTAGAAATTGGTGCTAATACCATGCAAGAATATACATAATTTCATTATATTACTCTCCAAAATATCATTTGAAGAAAAAAGGAAGATGCCAACATATATTAAGAATAAAAGGTTTCAAGTCTAGCGAATGTGGAAGAGTACGTGGAACCTCATTAAATTATTCTTTCAAAAAGCCATTAAGAAGAGAATAACGGTTCTAATTTGTATTGACCATTGAGAAGGAAAAAAAAATTCAAATATAGCCGATGTAAGATTCTAGCACATCCCTTCAATAGAGGCTAAATGGACACAAATTGACTTAAAATATCGAGGCAATAAAATAAATGATATTGGATTTGATACCATTTAAAAATATATAGTCCCCACCCCCATTGGATTACTTTAAAAAAAAAACCCTTTTAAGTTGGAAAATGAGAGAGTTTCCCACGTATAAAGTATCCAAGTATATAGCCAACGTGGGTCTCTCACATCTTTTAGTAATAAATAGATTTTCAAATACGTATTTGTAAATTAAACAAGAAATTAGAAGAAGAAAATATATCGTTAAAGGTTACAAACAGTTCATTTTAAATCAAAACAATTCCGATTCTTTTGACGTTTTCATTCATACAAAAACATTATATGAACCAAATGTCGATTAATATTTTACATGGAAGATGGGGTTCAGAGGTGAAACGGTCACCAGAAGTTGATCAAAGCTGGTGCCATCATCACTTTATACATATAGTCTATATATACATATATGTGTAATGAATATAGAGAGAGATTAAGATGAGATAGGTGACCTGCCAGTAACTTGCTGTAACATGCTCAAGTGAAGGGATGATGCAGAGATATCATCTCGAGTGTTGTGGCCCATATACACCACATATACCTGCATAAAGCCAGTTACTTATTTCGACTTGGTTCAACTAAGTAAA